AAAGATATTGATAGATAGTGGTTCACTTTCGTGGAAGGATGTTTTCAGCGTGGAAACAAAAATTCAAGATTACGATTAAGCAAAGAATTAATCGTGATAATTAATGTTTAATTTATTGTAAACATGAATATAAACAAAAGGGTCTCCAAATCTTGATAGTAAAATATAGTTCATAAGTTAGGGCGGGACGCCACCAAAACTAAACGCCGGCCGTCACTGGTATAGACGAAGTGGATATCAGTAATCGAATCTCAAACAGAGATTGGCGTTTGCCGGACGCTGTTTAGACGCTGCGGCGGGCTCGGCGACGGACGGACAAAGAGACAAACGAAATTAATTGGGGTCATGCGCCGCCGGCGTAATCTAATCGCGAAGCCATATCCTACGGGCCTTTTACGCGGACCCAGTGTAAGGAAACTTGCTCTAACTTCGATATCGCAATTAAATTGCACGCACAAGGTTTGCATGTAAGCGACTATAATAAATTCTGCAATGCCGGTTGGAATCAGTAATTAGTTGAAATAACATTAGATGCAAACCCATGTTGCTTAAATATGTATTTATTGATACGAAATAAAAATTAAAATCGTTGAAAAATCTACTTTTAAAATCAAATATAATACACTTTGTTCTGCATACGTTTAAATTACATATAACTTTTATTTCATCGTAAATCAAGATTCTTAGAAAATTTTAGTGAAATTTAAACCTCAGTGAGAGCAATAAAATGTTAAAAATAATTTTAAAAATGGCGTGTGAATGAAATGTGACGATAATATAGCGAAATATTTATTGTGCGGCGTCAAAAAGTATTTTATTAAAGCACGTGTCCAGGGCGGGCGGGCTCCAATTTGGGCGCTCGTTAAGGCGCAAAAGACGCGCAGTTTAATTGCAACCGCTCGCCTCTAATGAGGCCCTGTGTCCCGGCTCGAACGTTTCTCTTGTGCAAATTGACATTGTACGTGAATTGATGTCGCCATACTCGTCCCAATACCGAAGCCTTGTGCGATGCGATGCGATATCGTTTCAAACGGTTTAGCTCGATATCTAGATATTATCGTATTTATCTCTAGCAGTTGTAAATTATTTGAGACAATACTATATTGGTAACTACACATATAGATGATGTAAAAGCTTTTTATTTTCACATAAATTACAATTATGTTTGTGACATGATAATCGCTATTTAACATAATACGGATGTATTCGCTTATTAAATACAGTGCAGTGAACAGAATATTTGCTCAGTTCTGTTAACAATATGAACTGAATACTGTATGTTTATATTGCATTTCCAAACGCTAATTGCTTTTCAATGTAGGACTTACTTAATGATCTGAAATTAGAAATGTCTAAACCAATACTCACTCATCAGCAGGAATCGAGAGCTTCCAGTTATAGATGCATCGCAGAGCCAGACGATAACGATTCTTATACTAATAGTATTATGGTAGATATTTCTAAATTGAATATTTTTAATAAACGTATTATTGTAACAGTTAACTCTTTAATAATGTAATGTTATTTTTTTTTTTTTTATAGTAAAAGGGGGCAAACGAGCGGCGTGTACACCAAGGTGGTCAACGACGCCCATGGACATCCGCAACACCAGAGGAACTACAGATGCGTTGCCGGCCTTTGAGGAAATGATAAGCTCGCTTCTTGAAGGACCCTAAGTCGTATTGGTTTGGTAATGTTATTTATATCTCTAGTACGTTTTATTAAGAACTAGCTGTTACTCGCGACTTTGCCTGCGTGAAATTTAAAAATATAGCCTATGTTACTCACAGATAAATTACCTTTCTAACGGTGACAGAATTTTTACAATCGTCCCAATAGATTTTGAGTTATTTCAATACATACAAAACTTTCTTCTTTATAATATTAGTATAGATTATTGTGTTTCGATATTACGCACATTTTTCTTTTAATTGCGCGATCTTATTTATTGGTTCCAAATCTATCAACATTAACATGACTTACCATGAACAAAAAAGAAACATCGTAACATGAATTACAAATTTCGTATATGACGTCGCGGGGCAATAAAAAGATTTTATCCACTATAACTAGTTGCAAATGTGCGGACTGAAGTTGCGAGGTAACTCCGCGTTAGATCGTAGTAAGAAGTTGGTTTCGGAGGCGGGTCGTTAGCGGCGCGGCTGATTGCCGATTGAGCAGCAATTGCCTTGATTGACGCCGCGCGCCCCCCGCACCCCGCAGCGCCCTAACGAACCCGCTTCAATGCCTGGACGTGCCCGAGGTTACTACATCCGTACAGTAATGTCGGACACCTCCCGAATACTATATATGAATAAATTACTAACTTTTTTTAAACGAAGGAGAACGAGTCCCAATATATTTTGCGAACCCAATATTTTTACGAAGTTTTTGAATTTTTATTTTACTCATTATTGAATTTCAGAAAATCATAAAGCTCTATTGTCCAAGAACAATTTACTAATGTTCAAAGTTTAAACATAGGTTTGTTTTAACTACTATTAGATATCATAGTTGAATCGTGTTCCTATAGATACACATTTATTCTAAAAATAATCTTGTTAATATTAACAAGAGAGACTGTACGTAGAATATTGAAACCATGGCAACCCTTGTTGCGTGATCAATCTATTTTGTAGCAATAAGGATTTTTTAATTGTTCTCTATAAACAATTTGGGTATGATGCGTAACTAACTTTACCGTTCTATGATTACAGTTGTTAGTTCATTATTTGTTTCGTAATATTATTTAGAAGATAAAATGCACATAGTTCAATTTAACATTTGTAAGTTATTAATAGTAACTTAATTAAGCAGACCGTTGTTCGGTTTCCCTCCTATCTAATGAAAAAAGTAATCAAGACTTATTTGCGTCCCAAAAATCATTTAAAATACAAAGATTAAAAAAAACTGTTAAATAAGCATAGAAAAACTTATTTGTAATAATATGATAATTAGTGAATAACTAAAGAGTAGAATAAAAAAATATATCTTCAAACTTCTACGGTTATATTATTTAGATACTTGGTTAGAATCAGTCCATGTCCGAGCTCCGTAGATGTGCTACGTGCTACGAGTTTTCTGATTGCCAGTTGACTCGAATAATTTGATTCGATTGACGTCGACGTAGCTGTACGTATCCGGTTCGTTTGTAGGCGCACAACATTCTTGCATTGTTTCGTACGTGTCTCGTAATACCGAACACAAATTCTTCAAACAAAGCCGTATTACTACATTAAAGAGATAAGGCAGGCTATAAATCCTAATAAGATTTTAATAAAGCTAAATATTTGTTTAACATATTCGACGCCTTTCTCCCGTTGTAGGAATCGGAAGGCGGTATTCTCGGTTAATTACATGCGTACACAGCAATCAGCAGCGCGAAGCGTCATCGGCGTCTTTACGCAGCCAGACCGCAATCCATCACATCGAGACAAAAGGCGAGAAGCGCGCCGGCGGTTGTTTGCGTGAGAAAGCGCTAATTTCGTTAAGGAGTCTCAATCGGGGAAGACGTGTAAGTAAAGTCGTCGGAGCGGCCGGGGCGGTCGGGGCGGCCGCCGCGGGAGCGATTCGAGCGAATTACCGTAATACCGCACCTGGAGGCGCGGGGGCCGACTCGTTAGTTGTTGTTTGCCGAGTGACGCGGGTCAATCAGCAGAGACATGCACGGAACCGCACTTCTTCATCCCCCACGCGTCCCCCGGCGCCCCCGCCCCCGCCCCGCAGCCCGCGCCGCTCGTTAGGCCGCGCCGTCTCTGTCAACTGAGAGACGAGCTTTATCGAATCTACGACGCACGAGCCGCGCCGCGGTCGGCCCACTCTTCGCTCCTAGTTTGGCGCACGACCACCGGTAAACAAGGGAAATCAGTGTAAAACGAATTTATATTTCCTTTATGAACGACAAATAGAGGGATCAAAGGCACTTTAAAGGATATGTTGATTGTGTCAACATTAATTAGCTGTTCGAAACCACATTCTAAAATAGTTGTATACGACAAAAATAATTATGTGAAAATACACGATGGCAATGATAGGTCGCATTGCTTAGTGACGTTTGAAAATTCAGATAATTGGGTAGAGAATTCCTTTAGTCTGACTAATTAACACAAAGGGGGCTCGCCAGCCAGCTGCGGTCCACGTGGTGAGATCTGCGCGTGACACTATTCTACTATTTCAATATTCTCTATGTTCTATCTTATCTAATTCATTTATTTAGCTTTATTTATTACCTAGTGGGTGAGAAGTATTTTGTCGACTTAAATGTTGATTAAAATCGATATGTGACAGACATTTTGTATCCTTGTTGTAAAATGTTCAGTATGTCGTAATATTATTCAGAGATGTTATCGTTCTTTTTTCGGTGAAACTAATGCGTCGTGAAGCGATTTAATGAATACAGCGGCGGTAGGTAGATGGTACAGCTATACGGAACGGTTAATTAGTGGCAGAATGAAGTAAAAACTTCGCTGGCGACGTCCTAAATTAGTCCTTAGCGTTTTTAACGAATCCAATTTAGAGGGGCCGAGAGACGACGTCGATCGGCCGCCGCGTGCAAAACTGTTACTTTTTGCTCGATTCTCAGGTAGAAAATACAACGGTTCGAGGCATTTTCATAACAATGCGCCCGCGGCTTTCTCGGTATACTTTTTTCGGTGTTCGAAACGTTTGACAGACACGCTATTGTCATCGTTAGATGACAAACTAAAAACCGAACCTTTTATAGATAATCAAAGTCAGAGATCGAACGTGATTCGAGCCGCAAAGTGAGTCGAAGTGGACGCTAATTAACAATTTTTAACGAGGTCGAAACGTTTATCCTATTAAGGTCTCTAAATCGACTAAAGTAAGAAACGCCTGGAAGTTCTATGTTGGTATGATTTTAAAAGTTGCCAATTAAACTTAATCTACCAAATACGATTTTAAAAAATAAAATAATTATAGAATAGTAAATACCTTCAAAAATTCAATCAAAACAAAAAATTTGTAGTAAGATGACATACCTCGTATAGTCGTTTTTGCATAATATCATGCCGCCTTTGAAGTAGAAGGAGCGACCCATGTCTGCGAGCGCCTGCCCGCAGCAGGTGCACTTGAGGCAGCCGTGGTGCCAGTACCGGTCGAGCGCGTGCAGCAGGAAGCGCTCCACGATCTTGCCGCCGCAGCCGGCGCACTCCTTGAGAGCGGGGTTGTTGTTGTTGTGCGGGTAGTCGTGCCCGTTGGCGGCGAATGCTGCCTCCGGCGAGGGCGGGTGCGGCGAGCTCAGCTCCCCGTACCCGTGGTAGTGCGGGTTCATGCTCAGCGCGCTCGCTGCCAGCTTGACGGTTGGGGCGGCGACCGCTCGCCGACACCACCACAACTACACGCCCTGCACACAAAACAATACCACTTCTAGAACATACTACTATACTCTACCTATTGACTAGTGTTGAGTTAAAACGGTTTACATGCACACTTTTAAAATGAAAATAAAAATGATACAAAAGTTGAATAATGAAAAACATAAGTGAAGGCAATTTTGTCGAGTCGACGCGCAATGAAACAGTTTTCATTAAACTTTTTACGGCGAGGGGACGAAAGATTTGGCACTCAATTTACCCGACACAAATAATAATGGCATTGACGGGTATAGAAAATTTTCTCCAAACAGGTTGACCCTTTGAATTAATTTTTCTTCACGGCCTTTCGGGCAGCGGAGCAGCGTAGGCCTGCGGGCGGCCGCGTTTATAAAATTTTCCAATTAGCAATTTCATACAATTAGAAGCGAGGCAAGAGTGTCGGGGTGCGAGGGGCGCGGGTAGTGGGCCGCGGGGCGCGGGGCGCGGAGTGCGTCAACCCGATCCAATTAGCTCGCGGCCGGCGGAGCGGCGGGACGCCGTCTGAGCGGCCCTGTCGCCATAAAACTTAATTAAACGTTTTAAAACAAGTATTCATTAAAGAATAATCAAGCTTATGTAGTCATAAATAACCGGATTGTCCCGCGCGGAACGGGTGCCGTAATTAAGACTGCACAGAGTTGATCAAACGCACTGATTTGAAACTACCCTTCATTAAGAGAACGCGAGGCGGGCTCGGGAGCTTCCGCTGCGGTGCAGAAACTAATTAAGAATAACGGACGCTTTAAAAGCGTAATTAATTTAGATTGTAATTCTATTTCTCTGAGACTAAAGTAGACAATTATTTTGGTAGCCCTTTCTTTTGCAAAGATTCGGTTTGCTAAACGTAATGTCTTAAACTGGTTCGCCCAAGGAAATAAGTACTTAAACGTTTATAGCGTTCGTTTGAATTCAGACCATGTAATATTAAGACGGTTATACAACGAACTAAGGGCAGGTATTCATAACCGCTGTCAGTGGTGGCATGGCATATCAATTGGAAGTTGTAGAGCTGAGCGGTTGAGAGTTGCGAGCGTGTGGAAAGCGATTACAGGTCGGCGGGCGAGCCTAATGAAGGCAATAAGGGCCAGGTATTGGTGGCGTGTAGAACACCCCGCGGCTGCGTTGCGTGTCTACTAATGAGCGAGCCGTCGCGTGCGCAACTATCTCGCTTCGTTAAATCGCTCCGAGTACCGCCGATTTACGGTAGTCGTATTAATGTCTTTGTTTTGTTAATTTTGCGAACACGTGTTAGACATTCGAAATACGAAGCAGGTAGCTAAGATTGTTATCTTAGCCCCAGGCTGTGTTAAACTGCGGTATGGATTTAGGTAGTTTGATCCGTCGATCTTAAATGCTCTATTTTCAAGTGACTCAAGGGTTCAGCATGTTCATTCTATTTTTTAGACATGACATTTTCATACTATTTTTATTTCGTGGATATGAATACATTACAATTTTTTTAATGAAAACTTATTTGCGGTTAACATTCTTCAATTGCTTCTCTCATTACGAAAAAGCATGTCTTAGGTAACTAACCGGTGTAAAATGTATTAATAATAATTGTCTATCATAACTGCTATGAAAATAGTCTTAATATATCGAAATTACTCAGTTTAGTTAAACAGTCGAAATGTACAGTTTAAAATGAAGGTGTAAAGAGTTAAAAATAGAATTAACGAATGGTAATAAATAGCGCGTAACTAACAGTAGTAATATAAATGTGGCAAATTGTTATTACTCGTGTCAAAGGTAACGCAGTGCGTGTCGACTGCCGCCCGGCTGGGGTGGGCTGGGAACCTCGCAGGTGCCGTTTTCATTATTCAAGCTCCATTGATTGGATACTTTGTTGCCGTTTAAAAATCTTATTAGCAACCGGCAATAGCTACGCGAGCCCTTATTTACCTGGTAAGTGATTTTTTTCAATTACAACGATGAACGGCACATTCGAATGTCTAAGGAGGCGAAACTGTAAGTCATCTTGTTAGTGGAACGTTTTATTTCCGCGCTTTTCCACGACGCTCCGTTCGTTAGGGACGTACTTCGATGAGTTTACATATTTCCATAGACGCTCCGTTCCTTTTCAAATACGCTATTATTCGATGCAGCGGCATACGACTTTATTTGTGTTTTCTCAATAAATATTGGTACGACACTAACACGATATCTGCTTTACGTTTGAGTACATGTTTTTTTTATAGATCAAAAATTCATTACCATCAATTTTATTCAATGCAAAAACATTGAACAATCTTTAATGTAACAGTCATCTTAGTACAAAGGACTAATTAAATTTCGATACCTCTATCGTAACGTATTACACGTATACAGCATTCACGTCAATGTATGAACTGTTCCTATCAAATGTACATTAAGCAGTAACAAAGTAAGTGGCCACAATAAAAGCAACAACACGTATCGGTCACCGGGTCTCGGGTTCCATTGCACGGGGACTCCCCGGCGCCCGCCCGCCGCGAATAACGTAATTAAGGCGAAACCGCCGGCGAAATTAAACGCGAAAACGGAATGAGAATGTGAGCCTAATTAGAGCCGGGAGCGGGGGAAGACGTTGCACCGCCACCCTCCGCGCACACCCCTTCAGCCCCCGCACTCACCCTAACTCCTGCATAGAGTTAAGGGAATCGGAACATCATCCCGTCTTAGAGTCACGTTGCACGGACCTTATTGCATTTGCATACGGAATAGCGTTATTGTCTTTATACATTTCTACAGAATAATGAGACAAATTCGTTTATCACATAACATTAAATAAGTTAAATACGAGTAGATATTCTCTTATTAGATTTAATTGTTAATTAATATTATATGTAAGTAATGTTAGGAATGAATAAAGCAAATACTAAAATCTTAACAGTTGTTTAATAAATTATGAAAAATGCACCACTATTTAATTTCTACACATAATAGAAATATATACATTTCACAACAATAATATACTTAGTACTTCGGGGTGAGTGTAGCTTAAGTACTGAAGACGCTGTACACTAATTAAACGTAACATCCAATGTCCGTGTAATTTCTACACATTGTAATTTCAAATTGTTATTTCAAGACAAATTAATTAAGAACCGGTTTACATTGGCCACACAGTGCTATAGTTAGGTTCAGTTACCAAGGTTACGTCACTATTCGAAAACCGATGCTTTGCGAACCCGAAAATAAAACCGTACCGGCCGCCGGCTGCATGGACCCAATTCGTTTTCTCTTACATTCATACTAATTAAAAAACTGCGGACAAATTGGAGGCCACTCTCGCCCACGGGACATAAAACATCCATTCGATTGACGGCTCGCGCTCCCTTGATTAATTTTATCCGTACATTTTAAACTTTTTCATTACTTAATTGTCGAGCTTCATTAAGTAAGATTTGCTTTAATGGATGGTAATATTGATGTCCGCAAACGAGACGAGTACTCTTTGCTTTCGATTCCGAATTGTTTGTGTCGAGTCCAGTACATTTATTATCACTGTCTCATCCGTAATTCGCATTTCCGAAAAATAAACGATGAAGTTATCCTTTGATATTTGCTTATTATAGATACACTTATACGTTTTCTAATAGTAATCCTTTTTATAAATGAAATCATAGTAATAATAAAAATAACATAGTAATCGAGGTTAAAAATTCATAAATACAATTAAAAGTAACATAAACGATATTTCCCATTAGCAGATTTCGTGAGTAATGACATCGGTCATACATTCATCATTCCGTTTTTCAATTTATGTATCATTAGACTATTATTTAGAATATTTATTTTGCAAGACTTTTAATAAATGTATCAGCATGTAATTTTATGAATATGAAATTTAAAACATTTTATATGGTAGTGATTTTTATTTGTAGTTCAGTTGTAGGTTGCCTATTATTAAGGAACACGCTTTATGTGTTCTACGTTACAATTTTTTCTGATAAGTTTTCAACAAATTTTTCCTAATTTTAAAATTGGCAGGAGTAGAACGACTTGTCATTCGAATTTAATTCTTCCCCTGAACGTAATTAGGGTGCAAATTCTTTACTAGTAACATGTTTATGAAGTTATTAGACGTTGAACTATAAAATATTTAAAATAAATGAGTTGTAACAGTACCAAAACGTGGCTAATGTGTAATATTATTTGCATATAATGACCGCTAATGGCCTCGGCGCATTATTCATTGGGCGTGACCTCAAAATGGCCGCAAGAACCGTTCGATGGTTACAGAGTTTTGTGCGAATTATTATTTTCATATTAATATTGTATTACCATACTGTAAATTATTTATTCAATTTATGCGTTTAAAGTATCCAGTTTAATCGTTCGATTAACGATTTATTAGATTGCGAATATCTTACAAAATTAAACAAGGTATTGATACCTTCATAGAAAAACTGTCTGAAAACATACGTAGAATATCGGACCATTTAATTTATTACGATAACATCTTCTTATACATATTTAAACAATACAATCAATAACTCGAGCGAAGTGCGAAGGAACACACCAACGTATACACTTGTATAGCGGAGGGCAGCAAACAGCGTAAAGAGCCGGCCGGTATTAACTCGGGAATGATTGTGTGGCCGGCCTGTTAACCAATTAATTTGTCCTTCCACGTCAAACATATTACAGTAGCGGCAATTAGTGTAACAGCAATCGCACGTGTAATATCGCTTTGTACGTGATTCCTATAACCAATTATTGCAATAAATGGAAATTGTTAATTCCAGTTCCGATTGACAGATTTCGGTTTATTATTTTCCGTATTTATGAGATTGAAGAGAGAATATGTGTATTAAATGATATACTGCAATATTTTTTACGGTAATTGATGATTAATTTAAAAGGACACACTGTATTACATCAAAACATAGGTCGACTTAATAAAAAAAAATAACAGTCAAAAGGCTGATTATAATTTCCCTGTGCTAATAATTTTAAACACAAAATTTAACAGATTAAAAAGTAATTCAAACTTTTAAGAAGTCGG